AAAAAAAAAAAAAAACAGACATGTTCTCAATTAAAAAATTAATATAAATCCAAAAACTGAAACCTATTTGTACATGCTGACTGCAATTGGAATCTTATACTTTTTGTAAAAGTTATGTGAATTGATATTTCTGCTAAAGGGGGATACAGTTGCCCATGTGATAGTGTACAAATACTTGGCCAAGGTATTCACGTGCCCACAGGAATGAATTTGTAGTTGGGGAAGCCTCCCTATTTATTTGTACACAGGGGTGTCCAATACATGCGCATCACAAGAGTAAGCAATTTCAGTGGCAATTCAGATATTCACACTTCAGCTGACGTTCCCCTAGTAAAGGTGTGTTTTTGTTATTGAAATTTGATTCCAATAGGCTTGCATGGTTGCAAGAGTAACATACGTTATGCATTGGAATCACCCTTTTTTTTTTCTTTTTTTGTTTCTTTTTTTTCTTGGTTGAATTTGTTATACAGCATTAATGGATCCACAAGTGGGTAATAGCACAGGTGTTGTGTGCAATGGCCAAATTAATACGTGGATACGAGAGACAATCGGAGAGATGGAAATGACAACATCAATGATTTGGCTAGAAATTGCACGCGTGGCCAATGAGTACGCATACGTTGACAGGACTCCATTTCACACATCTGCGTTGACTGGGAGATTATGGATGCAGGAGATGCTTACAGGTCGAGAAGAAGCGTTTCAGCGTAATTTTAGGATGCCAAGGGATGTGTTCATAAAATTGTGTAACACATTAGTAGCCGATTTTGGTCTCGAACTCCCGCAGCGTCCGCATGGTATTGATGTAGTTGAGAGCGTGGGGATGTTTATATACGTGTTGCGAGGCTTCCCAAGTTGGGATATTGAAGACCGCTTCCAACACTCAGGGGAGACAGTGTGGCGTCATTTTAAGCGTGTTCTTAGAGCAATGAAGGAATTTACACGAGCCCACTGCCAACCGACGAGGCCTCAAAATAGTAGACATCCATATTTGGAGTCACAACCGAAATATTTGCCATTCAGGGTGAGGTGTAACACGTTCGTTAATTTGCCATGTGTCAAAATAGTTGTGTATGTCCAAAATGTAATTTTACTAGTCCCTTATGCCATGTTTGCATTATGTGAGCACGCAGGACTGTATTGGGGCGTTGGATGGGACACACGTGGAGGCAAATTTGAAGCCGCGTGAGGCACCGCCATATTTTGGTCGTAAAGGACGACACACGCAAAATATCCTTGCAGTTTGCGATTTTGACTTGTGTTTTACTTTTATCTCCTGCGGCTGGGAGGGTAGTATGCATGACAGTAGAGTGTTTAACGAAGTTACCCAAGATCCGGCGAAAAAATTCCCACACCCAGTAGACGGTAAAATGAAGTGGCACTGTTCAATATCATGATTGATTTATTGTCTTTTTATTAACTAAGGTTCCTAATTAAAATTATTTGGACACACACAGGAAAGTATTACCTTGTTGATGCAGGGTACAAGAATCAGAAAGGCTTTTTTGCACCGTTTAAGGGATGTCGGTATCACCAAGAACAGTTCCGTGTGACTGGACGAGCAAGCAACGCGAACGAAGTTTTTAACACGGTGCACTCCTCGTTAAGGAGTGCAATTGCACGTACATTCGGAGTGTGGAAAGCGTGCTGGGGTTTTCTACATAACATGCCTCGGTATGATTTCGGGAAAGTGCAAGTGCAATTGGTTGGGGCTTCAATGGCACTACATAATTTCATATGCCACAACTCAGACGAAGATGAAGCATTCAACATGGTTGCTAATGCGGAACATTTTATTTTTAACGACATGCCCAATGCAGCGGGTGTTGGTGATGATGATGATGATGAGCTTGATCCAGCGGGTGATGATGATATAGAAATGAATGAATTTAGAAAATCTATTAGAAATGTGTTGGTGCAAAATCGCCATGAGCTACGGCTGTAATTAATCTTTACGAATAATATATATGGTTACATATGAGGAGTTATTTTGGCCTAGTGAATTTTTATTTGTATTTTTCTTTTTATTTTTATGATGATTTATATATACAATTTTTATTTTTTAAAATAGTTTTTTTATTTTTTATTTACATATGAGGAGTTACTTTTGTTCTAAAACCCATTTGGGAAGCTGGAAGCTGAATATCATAAGACAATGGCTTTTTTTTTTTTGTTTGAACGAATTTTTATACAATTTGTATTTTTATTTTTATGGAAGACATTTAAAGGTAAAAATGAAATATTTTGAATTTTTATTTTATTTTATTTTATTTAAAAAAAAAACAAAAAAACTTTGCATATCTGTGATATGTATGTCACAGTGTACAAGTTTCCCAGATGCACAAGCCATTTTATTCAATTAAGGAGCTAGACAATGAGAGTAAGTGAAATTCTGTAAATTGCAAATGGGAAGGGGGTATTTTAGTCATTTTACAGCATGCCATGATGATATGACAATATTAAAAATTATTAACTAAAAAAGTCAAAAAGTCATTTTTTACCATTTCCCAAATGACTTTGAAAAAGCAAAAAAGCTTGGTTAAAAGTCAAAAAGTTACTTTTAACCAACTTCCCAAAATAAGCTATATCGCTCTCTCCACGGCCGCGCAACCGCCACGTCTCCGCTGTCAACGACCACCAAAGATTACAGGTAATCATTACATACACAAACACACTGATGTATCTAAATATACACATATATAAATATATGCATGCGCGATTAAGCTTCAACACATATTCCTTTTTCTTTTCTTTTTTTAATTTTAATTTTAATATATATATATATTTTTTTTTGGGGTTTGTACGATCTTGGTGTTTTGTAGTTCGTAATTGACTATAAAAGCAATTATTTTCCTTTATTTTCTTTCTTTGTTTGCTATTTTTTACAAGAATTAATTTTATTTTATCAAATCATATGTTTTGAAAGTGTTTGATAAAAGGCCTGGCTGAACTGCAATTATTGCAATTGAAAGTCTAGGTTATAAATTGAATGAAAAAAAAATTTATTGTCAAATTATTGTAGTTTGAACAGCACAAATTGATTAACTCAGTGTTTGGGAGGCAACTCATTGAGGGTTAGATAGATCAATCTTTCACTTAGTATCACTGTCAAATTGATATGTTAAACTAGTGGACATTTGCAAGTAAACCCATCTCAACTGCCCAGGATGTAACAACTATGTGGGGTTGGCCAGATCAATCCACTTTCTTGATTTGGCTTTTGGAAGGAAACATGTAATTTAAATGGGTTCATGTGTCTTTGAATTTTATTTTCATATGTACTTGGCTTGATACTGGCTTTATGAGATTATATTGGTTTTGTTTCTCAGTTTTTATTTAGCTTTTGAGCCATATGCTTCAAAAGAAATCTTCTTTTTTTTTCTTTGGGTGCTGTGAATGCTTGCTTGGCCTACGTAAAATTCTAGATTTTTCTGTAATTGGCATCTCTTTTATGTTAATATATGAATTTGTACTTTTACAGTGTAGTTATTTGATACTTTTAAAGGTTAGTATCCTTATTGTTAGGCATCATTTTGTGGTTTTTTCAAAGGGCTTAGTGCAGTTGTTTGTTTTACTCATGTTGTTTGTATCAAATTAGAATGGTTGAGGTAGAGCAAGAGGCAAATAAAACCACTCTGCTAGAGGAAGCAAACCCGAAATCCAGCGATGAAAGGACAGAAAATAGGAAGAAGAAAAGGAAGAGACAGTTATTAAAGGAAGCTGCAATGGCCGACAAACGTGGGGTTTGCTACTTAAGTCGGATTCCTCCACACATGGATCCTTTGAAGCTACGACAGATTCTCTCTCAGTATGGAGAAATTCAAAGAATTTACCTTACACCTGAAGGTTCACACAAGTACCTTTTTTTTTTAAAAACCAAATGATGCAAACTTTGCAAGCGATCATCAATCATTTAATTGTTCATGTGTCTTTGTTGTACAACTTTTATTTTACATTTGAAGTCATACAGTATCATGTAGCTATCTTGTTTGTACTTTACCAATTGAAGTACTCAACTCCTCACATTAGTTTATGTACAGATCCTGTGGCTCAGGTGCATCGTAAACGAGCTGGTGGATTTCGAGGAGTAGAATTTTCGGAAGGGTTTGTGATTAACTTTCTTAATGGCTTAATGCTATATGCCGAACAGATCCAGTTTATTTAGTTTCATAGAGCATATAGTATGTTCGAACATACAATCAATACATTGACCTCCCCAAAAGATTATTTGTGAAGTGTTTTTCTCCAAAAGGAGAAATATTTTGACATTGTCTTTACTTTTTTTGTTCTAGTTTTATATCAATGTGGCAGATAGTTATTACGAATGTACAATCATATAATAGCCTTTGGTGTGTACAGGTGGGTTGAATTTTCTAAAAGAAGTATTTCCAAGAGGGTTGCAAAGATGTTAAATGGTGAACAAATAGGTATATTGTAGATTATTTTTTCATCCGAGCTTAATTAGCTTATTTTTTTCCTGGATTTTATACTTATGATGAATTTCTAGCTACTTTATTAAGTGAAACAGGCAAAGTGGGCTATGCTTAGGGTCTAAAATTGATTCTGTGTTGGCTCATGTTTTTTGGTGCCTTGTGTCCTTTATTTTGTGAGCTTGATAACATTTTTTGGGGTTAAACATGCGAAGTGATTGTAGGCTTGTAGCAAGTACATTATTCGTTATGGAATGAAGTTTTTTTTTTTTTTTTTTTTGGGTTTCAAATTTTTTTATTATTATTTTTTTCATGTTTAGGTGGGAGGAAAAGGTCAGCGTTCTTTTATGATCTTTGGAATATCAAGTACTTGAGTAAATTCAAATGGGATGATCTTACTGAGGAGATTGGTATGGATGTTTTTAACCATTTGCGGCCTGTTGGGATTTGGCTAACTCCAGAGCCAATTCCTTACGTAAGTGCTCGTTCTTAGCCATCATATCTTCTAGATGCTGTTCGTTTCATTTTGCTTGATCCATGATCGTCTGCACAGTCTCCTGCACAGAAGTTGAGAGTGAGGTTTGAGCTACTGGGTCAAAGTTTAGGGCCCTTCGTGCAATGATATTCTCCTGTCCAAGCATGTTTCTTGGAGTAATGTCATCTCTTGGTGTAATATCGTTAGCAACTATCGAAGGATCATCTCTCCCGCCTGCCATGAACGTACTTGAGTATTCCCACAAACGGCACCAACTGTGGTAAAGTGGTTTGGAAATACTCTTGGATCCAGTTAGATGCTCTTGATCCTCTGATTGCTACCTGAAAAAAGGGATGAACACTACAGTCGAGGGTGCCAGAATTAACATTCCGACGAACAAGTCAGTATCCTCTCTACTTTACTTCTATCTCAAGTTATCTTGTGTATTCTCACATACCTCTCTTTGACTGACGCTTCTCCTTTTTATATTGTTCTCCAAGGGCCCACCTTCTCATCATCACCTTTCGCCATCATATCTGGGACCCCCAGGTACGTTAGAAGCTTTTCGGCATACTCAGCCTGCAGGCTGGATTCTACTTGGCCTTGCTCTTGTTCAAATGGGTTTGGCCATGCCAAGTTAGCCTCACCAGCATTCTCAGCATCCTGTTTGAACCTCTTCTGAGCACACATTTATTCGGCCCCGACAAATGTATATACCAAATAATTATGCAGTCAAAGTATAGAAGTACTTTCAATATTTAAAAAAAAAAATACTTGTCAAAAAAGAAAAACTTATCAACACCTTTTCTATTATCTCAAATGAAAATTAATAAAATAAATCATAGTGATTTTAAGATAGATTTTATAAATTAAATTTATTTTAATGTAAATATATTTAATTTGTTTGATTGCAATCATTTTATTTTTTTTTTATTCAGAACATTTTAAATGTCATAGAAAAGTTTAAACATGGCAAACACATTATGAGATGAGAATATTTGTTAGAAAATATTTTTAAATAAATCAAAACATAATGTAGTAAATGACTTATTAAATATAATTTTATAAATGATTTTACATGATCCAATATAAAATAATTTGTTAAAAATTATTTTATTAACATATTATATGGTCAAATATCACAAAATGCAAAAAATATTTTAATAAAAATAATTTACAACAAATAAAATAAGTCTAAATGTTATGATATCTACAATATCAATTTAGTATTTTTTTTAATGTAATTTTTTATTTTTAAAAGATGTGTATAAAGAAGATTTGAATATAATATTAAAGCTGTGTTTTAATGTCCATTATAATTATTTTACTTCAAGATATAATTGTTATTTAAATAAATTTTATTAAATATATGCACGGAAATAAATAGGTATGTAAAAATAGATTTTGTATATAGTTCCACAGTCTATTCTTTTGAAACTAAATGAACAAAGGCCATATTACCCCTACATTTCTATTTATCTGCCCCCCTATCTATCCACGCATTATTTTTCTATTTGTCTACATTTTTCCTATTTTCTTTTACTAGCTTCTTCTTTGGTTCTTGTTAGAGAGAGTACGTATTACCCAAAAAGACAACCTAAGAGAGGGGCTGAATTAGATTTTTATAATTAAAATTAATAATACCCTAATAAAAATTATGACAAGCACAATAGATAAATGTAGTTAATGAAATAAAAATAATTAACACATATGTCTTAACAACTATGTTAGTTAATGATTTTAGCACAGTAAAAATGTGAAATATAGCTATGGTAATTTAAAATAAGATAAAGAGATAAGGGAGAGAGAAGCAAACAAATTTATAGTGGTTCGGCTTCAACTCGGCTTACGTCCACTCCTCAAGCTTCACTTGAGATTTTCTACTATACTCTAGCTTCACAGGGTGCTAGCAACCTTTTCACAGATGGAGCAATCCTCTACAGATTTTACACTGACTTTCTAAGCCAAGAACACTGAATGTACTACACTCTTACAATGTTGAAATGAAGATGTTTTTGCTTTCATAGAAAGCTACAAGAATTATCTCTCAAAAATAGATATAAAAATGAAGCTCTGGTTTTTCTGTAAACCTCACACAGGAAAGATGAGCTTAAAGCTATAAGGCTTAGGCCTCGTTTGGGAACCATTCCTTTTAGTCAAAAAGCCAAAAAGTTACTAAATTAGTCAAAAAGCTAACAACCCATACCAAAAAGTCAAAGATTCTCTTTTCTCTCCACTTTTTGCACATCTTTTCGTAAAAAGCTAAAAACTCACCCCAAACATACAAGTTTTATTTAACTTATATTTTAGCCAAATAGCCAAAAAGTTACTAAATTAGTCTGTTCCCAAACGAGACCTTAGTGTATAATTTCTGAGAATAGATGTGAGTGATTATAGATCAAGAATATTTTCAGGTTTTTGTAACTTGTTTACATTAGAGACTTTGGTATATATAATGAAACTTATATCCGTTTATAGCCGTTGTAGTCATTTGAATTTATAGCCGTTGTACTCCATCATGACTAATTTGAATATCTTCCACTCCATTATTACAAATTTGAATATCTTCCACTTGAACCTTTTGAACTGTTGTTGTACTAGGCTGTTTGAACCTCTATTTTTTGGACTGTTTGAACTCTTGATTCAATCAAATATTAAATACATTCTAACAACATTTAGGATAAAGGTTTAGGTGAAAAATAATGGGACAAAATAAAATTTCATTTTATTAAAACATAAAATCATCAAAATAAATGTTGATTATATTTTTCTCTTTCAAATAAATCATCAAAATAAATTTTGATTATATTTTTCACTTTCAAATAAATTATCAAAATAAATTTTGATTCTATTTTCTTCTTCCAAATAAATTAAAACATAATTAAATAAATCATCAAAATAAATAAGCCTAACAATCTCCCTATTTTTTATGATGGCACAAAATGATGTTTTGATTTGATTTGGGAGTAAAAAAAGCTCCCCCTAAAGTCATGCTCCCTGAATTTATTTCTAAATACATAGGTTAGCACATGTGTAATAAATAGGCTTTAATTAGAGACATGATATGAGACTAAGATATCAAACTATAAATACATAATCATCAGATTAGTTTTCAAATAATACCATAATTTGAAAATAATATCATAATACATAACATCATATTTCTCCCGCTGTGACTTTATCAAAAGGAAATCATGGATCAAAATCTGGAGAAGGAGGAAGAGGAAAATGATAGTGATAAATGGCATCAAAAAATAGATAATCAAAACATATATATACATATATATATATATATATATGAATCACCCGCACCTCTCTTTTTTGTTGAAAATTGCATCGAACACGCGGCCTCTCTTTTGCGTCAGCCGACCGACAAAAGCAGCTCTCCTCGATTGCCGCTCACCTCGGCTATCTCTTCCTCCTTGTCTTCTTTTCTTCAGCCTCTTCTCTTCAGCCTTCTTCTTAATCACACTCGTTTGCTTCTTCTTCTTCACCTCACTCTCTTCTATCTCTTCTTCACCACTCTCTTCTGTTCTTCTTCCTCATCGAGATACAAAAAAAAAAAAAAAAATGAACGGAGGAGGCCAAACCTCAGTCTGTTCTCTTGTATTTCTCTACAACTCATTTCTTTTACATCGCTCACCTCTAAACCATGGCTTCCTCATCCCGTCCCCTCACTCTATTTTCGGACCTGAATGATCCCATAAGCTCTGCTAGACCGAGTGCCTTTACTCCTACTCTTCCTGTCATTCCTCTTCCTAACCTTCTTATGATGTCGATTGAGCAAATCATGGCAGCTCAATCTGACATAGAAGCAAATCATTTCACATTAACGTCCTGTATGGAGACGGTGACGGCAGTCACAAAATTGGCTCACCGATTGCAGAGTAGAACGAGTGAGCTCTATCAGGTTAACGCCCAACTCTTTTTGCTCCAACACATGTACAAGGATGCGCGAGCAGAAATAGGCACACTGAAAGCCGAAAATAAAGAGCTTAAACGGAAGACCACCTCCATGGCCCGATTTGGTGCAATGTCATTCTTGGCCTTTGATAATCAGTGGGGAGTCGTTGCTCTCGACGAAAACACGGGGGTAGGGGCGTCAAGGGTCGCCCAAGGTGATAAAAAGAAGAAGAAAACGATGGAAGAGCGAGTAAGTAAGATCGGCATATGGCCGAAAAAAAATTAAGGGTTTTTTTTTTTGTATGTTTATTTTGATCGGCGTGTGGCCGTAAAAAAAATGAAGGGTTTTTTTTTTATGTAAATATTTGTATTTTGATTTGTTTTTGTTTTTATGTTTAAGTGCTGAAAAATGAAATTAAAAAACAGAAAAAAAATAAGAAAATTAAGTCCAAACAAAAAATAATAATGAGAAAAAAATAAAAATAAAAGAAATTAAGCCTAGTAGCAAAATAAAAATTAAATAAAATAAATAAAATAAAATAATACCAGCAGAAATTAAACTTAATGGGATGTTAGTGTTGCTGGAATGATAATGCAAAAAAAAATACCATGAGGGTTAAAAAAAAAAACAATGTATGCAAAGTTAACTTTACCTCAAGATGCAAAACCAAAAAAAATTACATAGTTGAGAATAAAAAACTGTTAAGGAGAATAAATGTATGAAGGACTTGAGAACATTCAACTGATATAAATGTTTCCATATCAATGCAGCAATACACATATATCATTTTAACAAAAATTCAAGTTTCACAATCATAACAAAACTTTTTAAGTCGAAATCGACATTCCCAGCTCGCCACTAAGAAAATTGAAGCGATCCTCACTTAGGGGTTTTGTGAAAATATCCGCCAATTGCTTGTCAGTGTTTACAAATTCAAGTACAATATCCCCTTTTGAACATGATCTCTTAAAAAATGATGTCGAATTTCAATATGTTTTGCTCGTGAGTGTTGAACTAGATTTTTGCTTAAATTGATGGCACTAGTATTATCACATTTAATAGGGATATGATTATAATGCAAATTAAAGTCCTCCAATTGTTGTTTCATCCAAAGTATTTAGGCACAACAACTTTCGGAAGCTATATATTCAGCTTCTGTCGTTGATAAAACAACAGAATTTTATTTTTTGCTAAACCAAGATACTAATGAGTTACCAAGAAAGTGACAAATGCCACTGGTGCTTTTTCTATCAAGTTTGCATCTAGAAAAGTCGCCATCCGAGTAACTAATTAAATCAAATGCAACATCTCTAGGATAAAAAGTCCCAAATTTTGAGTGCCAACAAAATATCTAAAAATTCTTTTAACAGCACTGAGATGTGATTCCTTAGGATTTGATTAATATCTAGCACACATACAAACACTAAACATAATATCGGGTCTACTTGCAGTTAAATAAAGAAGTGAGTCAATCATACCTTGATATTTTGTTTGATCAATGGACTTACATTTTTCATCATTGTCTAGCTTAATGGATGTGCTCATAGGTGTTCCAGCTATTTTTGAGTCACACATACCAAACTTTTTGAGTAGTTCTTTTGTGTACTTAGCTTGGTTGATAAAAATTCCTTCTTTACATTGTTTGATTTGAAGCTCAAGGAAATAATTTAGCTCTCCCATCATGTTCATCTCAAAACTCACCTTGCATACACTTAGCAAATTCCTTACACGAGGTTTC